TACTTCATTCACACACAGTTTTCACGGAAGTTAAACCCTCTAGGCAATAAAACAAAAACACCTTTTCCCAGAATAAAAAGCAATGCAATGAAAGACCGGTCATTTTGCCCATCCCCCGCAAGCAAAGAAGGAAACGGGGAATGCAGTGAGTGTATCATAGTGTTATTGCTACGGTTTTGCGCATCTTGAGTGCGGGGCCAATGTGCCAACTAAATACTGTCGCCCTGCCGCAGTTTGATTGCGCCCAGCCGCCGCGGCTGCTCAAAGAGGCACCACCACTACCGCCGCAGCGACCACAACAAGAAGCACAAAGGGAATGAGGCCAGCAGTAGCAGCAGCCACACCGCCATCACTGTCGGCCTGCTGTACCAACGCATCGGGTATCGCCTGAAAATCGTCGCTGTTGACGGACGGAATCGGAGTGGCAGGCGCGGAGGCACTGGGAATCACCGCTGGGCAATCCGCCCGCGGGTCGCACTCCGCTCGTGCAACGTCCTCGCCGGGTGATGGCGCAAAAAAAAGGCGTCGTGGCCGGAGGCTCTGTTGGCTCCGTCGCTTCCACTGCCAGGTCTCCTCCCTCGCCGCTGAGTGTTGTCCCCACTTTCGGTCCGCACCCCCGGATCACCCCTCGGACCGGCATGAAGGCCACCACCAGCGACACCCGCAGCCGAAGCACCAGGAGGCTCCTTTTCAATGGAGGCACCAGACGCCACTGGAGACAACTGTGGACGAGTATTCTCCGGAGAAGGCGACCCTGAAGCAACCGCAGACTCTTCTGCTTCCTTCTCTTGCTCGTCACCTTGTCCACCCACCAACGCGCTCGGGATGACAAGACTGCTGCCGTTCGCGGCAATGGTGCACACCTCGCCGTAATTGGGGCACTTGATCCTCCCATCTTTCTTAAATATTTCAACGTCACTGGGATTTCAGTGTCCTCAGGGCAAGGCTGAAAAACACTGCTGCCGAGGTGCCTCTCCTTCACTGTGCCCTCCTCACACGACACCTGCGCGCACACTCCCTTGACGCTTTTATGGCCATCACCATCCTTCGTCTCCAGTAATTCCGCGTCCAGGCACCACGAGCCACCGCCAGTCAGCGACCCACGGAGATAATCCACATTTTCGTCCGAGCACGTCCTGTACGTTGTCCCAGACGATATTTCGTGAAATTCGGAAGATACGACAGGGCAAACGTCCTTATCCACCAGACTCCCCTTGTCCTCAACGATGCTTGCGGTGCACGTCCCAACGTGACGGCGGTCGGAGGTGCAGCGGAGCGTCTCTGTTTCGGTAGCATCGCAAAACGTGTGAGGATACTTTGCGGCAATATTATAGGTTGTATTGCACTTGTTGACCAGGAAGTCGCAGCCACTGCGGTGGCCCCAGCTCATCGGCTCCGCCATGCTCCAATTCACACGGTAGTATCCCATATCAGCAAAAACCGCCATCGTCAGAGCCGTGTAGTAGCCGGCGCCGACTGCGGGGGCCATCAGCTCGTCCCGCGCGTGGCGTCCCTTCCAGTGAAGAATCGCTTTTTCCCGAGGGCCATCTTCGTCCTCCAGCACCATGCCCTCGAGAGACTTACAACCAAAGTGCGCTTTCGCCTTCTCCTGAACGTGCTTCCCTGCCACCATCCTGCGGTGCTTCCCACGCACACTTCTCTCTGGCTTCTTCACCAGGCTCTTTTCTCTCATGCTCTCCTGGCTGAACCCAAGTGCATGCGCAATTTCGTGTGCGGCAACGCGAACGCTCCACGCCGTGTCAGTCATGTACTTCGGGTCAAAGTCCATGGCGCCAATGTAGGACGAAGATCACTCAGTGTGTTACACGTGGCCGCCCACACAGCCCTGCTATCCGTGCCTGATGGCCCAGCAGCAGCGTAGATGATAAAACCTCCATTCGGCACACCGTCACTCTTGTGCCTGGTAGGAACCGTAAAATGGCTGCACGGTCCATTCATAGCCCTCGGTACAGTTATCGTCCCACCAGTGGGTTTCACAATTAGTCGCTCAGCGTGCAGTTTGACGGCACCGAAGAGAATCCTTCCAGTGTACAATTGTGTCTTTGCCTCCGTCAGGAAATGCTCTGCTTTGCATGATAACTTGTGCCCCAAGGCGTTGTAGCACTCATCCTCTCCCTCTTCGCAGTAATTCCTCTTGTTCATGCCTCTCCAGATCCTCCGTGTAAACCGCAATGCTGATCGGCTCCCAGCCACTGTCGTCATCCTTTGCGGCGACGGTGTACGCCTGCATCGCGCCCTGTCCCTTGCGCGGCACCTCACGCACCACCGCACTCGACAGCGGGCCGTTCCTCCTCTTCACCACGTCAAACCCACACTGGTACTGTGTGGCGGGTGCATCAGCAGGAACACCACCAGTGGGAAAAGCGGTGTGGCGTGGCGTGGCTGGCGCATGACTTGAGTAAAATGCATTTCTTGGTTTCTTGTGAGTAGCAGCAGCAGTAGTGCAGCCTGGATGCGGGAGGAGAGAAACAAAGGAAAAAGAAGAGTAAAGAAAAACAAAATGGCTTTGGACCAGTAATGCGTCAGAATGCGGCCCACGCAGCGGAGCAACAGGAGACCACAGAGGCGGCCATACACACAGCATGCGCACCGACTCCACCAAAGGGACAACCCGTCAATCCGCCGTCGAGAGAACGTCCATCACCGTCGCACAGAGTCCTCATCGACCGCACCGCTCCCTCCACGCGGGTGTTTGGTCCTTTCTCCTCGTGGTGTCGCAATATTTGTATGATCGGCCACTCAACATCCGCCAAAGGCACAGCACCAGTCCCAGTTGCAGGAGCATCGCACAGCGCGCTCTCCCAGCAGATCATACCCTGTTGCGTAACCGCACGGCAACCCCGATTGTGATGCGCAGCCCTGAAGCGGAGATGCAAAGAGTCATGCGGACGGACCTTCTTTCACTGCTCTCCTTTCGGGGAACTCGACAACAAGCGTGCCGGCGGTGCGATCATTATGACAGTTCCATCCGCACTGCCACTGGCCGAGGAAGTTACTGTGAGCTCACTGCGTAGAGGTCACCGTGTCCGCCGTTGCTCTCCCGCCACCCCACGACCACGCCGGCACTTCCAACAGAGCAGATCGGAGCGTCGACAACGGCAGCCACAGGCGCCAACGCACCGAGTCCAAGGGAGCCCGCTGCGACATTCCAAAGCGCGCTGAGAGCTTCTCTATCAGTGCAGGGGCAGCCCACGTGTGTGCGACATGGCTTATGTGCATTTGCTTGTGCATGTGCCTGTGTGTTTGTCAGCGCCTATAATTGCAAAGCAGCTGTGCGGCACAAGAGAGTCCAAATAAAGCAACGGCAGAGAAAAGGAGATAGCACACACGCAAATTACTCATATCATCACACACACACACACACGCAGCCCGCGGAATGGGTGCTCTCAACCACAAAACAATGAAAAACAAAACAAAAAGCCGAAGCGTGGGACGACCAGCGCACACACTCTCTCATTGCTCCCGTAAAGCAATACACATACACAGAGAGAGAGAGAGAGGTCGCCCACTCAATGCAATGGAAACAAAACAAAAACAGTTACGGTGCTCCGCCCATGCAGCCAGGCAGGACGGCAGCGGTGCGTGTGGTGCAAAAGAGAGCACCAACGGGCCTGCATGGGTGTGCATGCATATATGCAATGGGCACATTATGTGTGTGCATCGTGGGGTGAAGTGAGGGCGAGAGTCCATGCAAGGGGACACACACACAGAGAGAGAAGGACGAGTGTGTGTGCGGGCGGTGCATGGCTCTCTCTCACTCACTCTCACGCGGCCACCACCGCAGCAGCAGCAGCGGCCGCAACAAGAAGAAGAAGCAAAAGAGGGGAGGTGGTGTGGGACACCGCGGTGCTGCCGTCGCTGTCGGTAGTCTTCGTGATATTTTGCACAGCTGCGGTTTCGACTGCTTTTTTCTTCGTATTGCCGTGCTCCTTTTCATCTTCTTTTCCTTCTCCTCTCCCTGCAACATCGGATTCCGGTGCATTCTTCGGCGTCCCCTCATTACTGGTGGTATTGCTGACAGCTGAATCTGACGGTGGCCCTTGCGGTGTTGGGAGTTCAACGGGCTCATCTGGAATGGCAGCGTAATACGTACACATATCCTTAACATCAGGGCCATGAATTTCGCTCGGCGTCTTATTATAAAAAGTGTCACAAATCCCCTTCATCGCAAAGTTTATGCATCTCTTCATCGCTGGCACATTCACCGTCCCATTCTTCGTATTGTCCGTCTCGCATTCTTCGTGCGTCAGCTCATACCAATTCAAGATAATTTTGTCAGCAGGTGTTGTCTTACTGGCAGCACCATTGGCAGAAGCTTCCGCCTCGTTGGCAAAACAACCGCCGGCACCGCACCACAGCACGCAGAGGGCACACGCCAGCAGCACACGGCCAGTCATCATCATCGCCATCACTCCTGTCACTTGCGTGTAGCCTTCAGCACAAAATAACTCCCCGTCAACGCAGAGCAAAAGCAAAAGAAAGACACGGCGGCTACACCACGCACAGTCACCACACAGTGACAAATGGAAGCAGCCCAGCGGCAGCAACAAACACACCATGATGCAGTTGTAATCATTGAAAGGGCAGGAAAAAAAAAACAATACACACAGCCCCGCAATAATTGATCAGCAAGAAAAACATACAAAAAACAATTAAAAGCAAAAAACAGTAAACAAAAAGCAATAAAGTAAAAACACAAAAAACAAAAAGCTGCACCAAATGGCTCCAGTGCGCATGCACCAGCACACAAACATGCGTCCACGCAAACAGTTGTGTGCGTGTAGTACATATGAGTGTGTCCGGGATGCGTTCAACGTGACGGATACAGGAGGCAACGCAGAGCATACTGCAGGGCAGCGAAGGCAAACAAAGCAAAACACAATCATTATTTTCTCTTATTTATTTGCATCGGACCACAGTGGACGCGCACACAATTCCCCGCGGTGGAGTGCTGGCACGCACAGCCCGCATACACCTCTTCAGCCCAGAGTGGTGTACGCCAGTGCGGATACGGCGAGCAGCAGCGGGGCACACATCCACGCAGAGCTGCTGAGGCTGCCGTCAATTTCGCGAAGACGTGACGGTGCGCGGGTGGTCGTCGTAGTGGTTGTAGTCGTCGTGGTTGGCGCCTCAGTATTCATAGTACCTGGTGCCTGTGGCGCGGTGGTCGTGGTGGTGGTACTTGATGTCTTTGTAGTGGTGGTCGTGGTTGGTGCATTTGATTCCTTATGTTGTTCATTCGACGTGTTAGTGTTCGTATCTTCAGTCTCTTCCTTAGTGGATTGCCCGTCTTCTTGTTCCTGTACCTTATTGGAATTACTTTCTGACTTTGCCGTTCCGGTTACTGTAGCCGTTTCCTGTGACGTATGGGTCGGCGTATCTGGTTTCTGTTTCTCCTTCCCTTCCCCCTCCTCTCTTGTCTGTGACGAAGAAGAAGTTGTAAGAAGCGAATCCGTTTCCTGACCTGGTACCCCTGGCTCGCCAACCTTTTGTGGATCAGAGTCCTTGCTGGGGTTAGCTTCTTCCTCTGCCGCACACACGGAAGGGCGGCAGCACAGGGCGAGCACCAACAGGGCGCACAGCAGACGGCACGTCATCATCGTGAGTGTGGTCGTTCAGTGGTGTGGAGCTGATCTGCACAGTGAGGGACATGGAGAGCAACAGGGGAGACGAGAGGTGCGGCAGACACACACAGAGGACAAACCACATGAGGAGAGGGCAGCAGTCAGGGATGCACCGCACGCCGCACACCACGCACGACACACACTCCAATCCACGGCAACAGGCACACACACACACAGCCCTGCCGCAACACCAACACACAGATGGAGGAGGAAGAAGCAAACAGGAGCGGCACACAAGGCTCCACCGCATGCACATACGGCGAGAGCGGTCCGTCGTGTCGGCACCCCTCACGGAGGGTACGCACACACACAAGAGAAGGTGCAGCGCACACAGCAACACAAAAAAGCAAAGTAACAAGTTTAAAGGAGAGATCCCCGCACACCACGTGGATTGTTGGTCCACGGGAAGTGCAGCCAATATTCATCAGAAAAACAATTCAGTTGCCTTTGGCCTTCGTTCATACTCAGCGCGCACCACTTCATGCACGCCCGGGAACCGCAGCAGCAGCAGCACACGGAAAAATAAGCGCAGGGAATGGAATAAAGCAAGCAACCGTTTATTTGTGTTTCTGTTTGAATGTTGGCAGCCATCCGCATGCGTTTTTTTTGTTTTTTTCAGATGGCAAGCCTTCATGCCTGGGTCGTGTGTTGGGGATTTCTGCAGGGTGCGCAAGTATTTTTTTCCTCTTGTGAATTTTTCTTGTGTTGGTGCAGCCAATAATTCGGTTTGCGTTGTTCCTGCCTTTCGCTGGTAAAGTGTTGCAATAGATGTTTGTTTTTCCTTTCGTTGCTGTGGCACCTGATTCCTCACCGTTTATTGTGGTGGAAATGAAAATATGTGAGTGGACTCCCACACACCAGAACGCACCTTCGCTCCTATTTATTGGTGCATGGAAGGGCATGTGTGTTTGGTAGTGTCTCGACCATATATTTTGTGGGTGTACATTCCCCTGCAGGCTGAGGGCGAGATGACGCTCCGTCGCGGTGCACTTCCCTCGCATGCCGCCCACTGTGATTCAGCATGCATCACCCTCTCACATATTCCGTGGTGCCACACCGCTGATATTACTGCAGCCGCTGTGGTTCAGCGTATTTCACGCATTTGATTGTGCCACAATACATCCGCTCGTGTGGCCGCCGCATCCAAACAGCGGTGCCCAACACCGTGAGCGGCAATCCACATCCCTGCATGTCCCAACGCAGTGGTGTTTGACTGTCAGCCAGGCGTCAGACAACACGAGAGTATTGTGCTGGCAGTACAACACACGGAGCTGCAATGAATGACTCGGGCGGAAACGCATCTATTCGTCGCAAAGCAGCGAAAAGGAGTCGGGAAAAATAATGCCGGCTGCACTCACGACACCATATCCACAGCCAAAGCATGCGACGTGATGTGTGTTTCACTGGTGCTGTGAAATGCATGCAGACGACGCCACTAGTGGAGGAATGCCACCCACGATCAGCGGACAGACAATAATCGGCATGAGAGGCCACAAGAGGCAGCAACGACGCCAGCAGCAGGAGCAGCTCTCTCTCTCTCTCTGTGTTGCCTCCGAGAAGTAAATATTCCACCAGCCACAGCTGACTGTGCCATCGTGACACTCCATGCACGTCGTGGCTGCGTCAACACATCCTGTTTCCTGCAGCACCTCAAAAGATGCCTCACTCCGTCCACTAAGTGCATCGGTGTGGGCCGTGCCTCGGCTGTTCGTGAGGACCACAACGATGTGAGGGTCACCGAGTCGCAGCATGTTTGTTGTGACGTTGTTGCATGTCACCTGCACACACACACACACGCAGCGCCTGCATCCCTCCCTTTTGTTTCCGCCTTCTGCCGGAGTGCTCACACACACGGGCAGCAGCAAAATCATTTCACCCTCGACGATCCAAAATCAACACCGACATCCCTCGCGACGCAAAGATCTCAGTTGCCAGCACGGGCTTCCTGCCGCTCTGCCATCGACGCTGAAACACGGCACAGTGCACGCACTTATTTTCCTCGTGTGCGGTCAGCCGTTTGCTTCACACATTCTTCGATGGGCTGACGTCCACAAAAGCACGCCACAAAAGCCACTGTGATCGCACACGCTCTTGCGATGAGCGTCTGTGTGTGCATGGATCCGCTGCTCACACGTGCTGGGAGGCAGCCTGCAGCCGGTGCCCTCGTGCCAGTTCATCGGCACCAGCACGGAAAAGGGAAAACGGCCCATCCCCGATGCACCTATTTCCACCAGCAGCACCAACACGCTGGGCGCCAGCCGTCATTCCTCAGCACATCCAGGAATGCTGAAAAGTGACGTGGAACTGTCAGCCAGCAATGCCACAATCCCCGCACACATGTCGGGTCCACCAGAGAAGACACACAAATCACAAACAACACCCTTCACACGTCATCCGAACATCATTCCGAAACACCGCGACACGCCAAACAGAAGTATTCGCCACTCCATGCACCACGCACGGCAGCAGCTCACACGCGGTCAAACAAATGTTCCTCGGATTCGTGTTATCCACGTGCTGCGGTGGTAAGTAAAAAAAAGGGACGAGCGGCAAAACCCCAAAAGAGTGCCACGACCGGCCGCAACTCAACGGAACGCAGCCACTCGAATGAATTCAGTCCTCATGCCCTCAAACTCCCACCTTCCCCCACAAAAGCTGCAAAAGATGGAAAACAAACGCACCGTCCAATAAATTCTTTGTGCAACACCAAAAGAAGCCGCAGTGCCTTATGCTGTCCTCACAGTCCGTTGATGACGCCTGGATGCGGATGGTCACCCATCGGTCCTCACAAACGACGCCGCACACCCGCGACGCATCCTGCGCTCTGAGACACGCATCCCTCACTATCACCAGAGACGCCCACGCACCGTCGGTACGCAACAAATCGTCAAGGAACGAAGGACACGTCAGGCTGACAGCAAGACATCCGCCGACAAATCACATCGCGGAAATCGTCAATAGCAACACCAGAAGCCGCGGGTTGTCATGGATCAATGGACGCGTGGCGTATGTCAAAGAAAAAACTTGGCGTGACAAGGATACGAGAGACTGACACTCTCCCAACAAGAAAGGAAGAAACAACAAGAAAATATCGAACAAAGGACATTTTGGACGTCCGCAGTCAAGGCAAGAGAAAAATAAATAAATAAATGAAAGAGGTGCTCTCAACCACAACACAAGCAAAAGCAATAAAACTAAAAAAAGATAAACAAAGCCGAAGCGTGAGACGACCAGCGCACACACTCTCATTGCTCCCGTAAAGCAAAACACACACACAGGGAGTGAGAGAGAGAGAGGTCGCCCACTCAATGCAATGGAAATAAAAACAGTTACGGTGCTCCGTCCATGCAGCCAGGCAGGACGGCAGCGGTGCGTGTCGTGCAAAAGAGAGCACCAACGGGCCTGCATGGGTGTGCATGCATATATACAATGGGCACATTATGTGTGTGCTTTGTGGGGTGAGGTGACGGTGAGGTGTTAAGACACATTATTGAGGACAATCCCAAGTTTATCCTTAATTACGCCTAGTAGTCGTGTGCCGTTAGTACTGATTCTTCTATTCATAGTCGAATAGGTTTTCTGTTCCTTCAAATCCCTGTAACTTTAATATTAATGGAAGCAAATGGAAGAGGAAGCCCTTTTCTTATCATGCAGGCCGAGGCACTTTCTATGCGCTGCTCGTTTTTGTTTGCTTTCCCATTTCTCGGTTCACTATGGACATTTTGGTGACAATACTTTGCTACAAGGAGCGGCGAATAAAGGCAGCTCAAAATCACATGCCTTGGCGTGGGAGCCGCAACGGAAACATGGGTTTTTGGAGTCTCGCGGGATACAGGCATCCTTTGTCTACGTACGGTCAGCAGAAAACCCTGCAGACGGCATATCGCGTGGTCGTGTGTTTACACTTCAGGACTTGGTGAAGGGGAGCGGCGGGGTCTTGTGGCAGGAGGACTCCAAAGTTTGCCACTTCGTGAGTTATAATATATCTAGTACTAACAAAGTACAACGTGTCATGAGAGTGTCAACCCGAATATATATTCTTGGAGCAGACAATGAGGAGGTGGCGAACCCATGGCTTCTCTATTTAACTTTTCCTTTCATCCGTCATGTTTGGCTTCTTTAGATCATTTCAGGATCCGGCCAGCAGCCCAGCCCAATATTGCTTTGTATAAGCGGTTGTGGGTTGTTAGTTCTGCCACTGGGACGTTTGGCTTGTAGCAAACTGCGGTAGGCGATTAATAGCTATTTGCTTCTATACGAGCACCTTTGAAGGGGTGTTTGTTCCCTGGTTGCCGGAGCTTTTAGTGCGTGCGAGACGTCGGCGTTTGCTTGTTTATTTTCTATTATTTATTTATTTATATTATCGTGAGGCGCTGTTTTGCTCAATGGGGCGCAGTGTTAGGAAGGAGAACTGTTTGCACAATCTGGCGTCACGCCGTGCGGTGCGCTTATTGGGAGAACAGCGGTTCTGTTGAACAAATGTTCAACTTGACGGCAAAATACTTTTGTCGGGATGCCGGAGGTAGAAAAAGATATGCTTAGCCCAACACCTGAAAAAGAGTGGCACCATTATTTCGAGTAAAAACCGCTTTTGCTTCAGAATTTATGATCATGAGGGTTTAATTTTCTCTTCGACAAATATGGAAATGAAAAAGCGACGTTGTTGAACTCAACAAGAGTCCTTTAATTGTGTAGCTCCTTATTGCATTGTTTCTCGGCAGCGGGGGATCATCGTTCCACCGTGCCAGCTCGGTGGCATGGCGTATCGTGTGCGTTTCACGCCCACTCCGGGGCCAGGACCTCCTTTTACGTTCTCACTCGGCAGGGCGGACGTGCTCGAAGACGGTGGCCGGCTTGTGGGTTATAGAATTTATTTGGAAAAAAGCACGATGAACAAGCAACAGAAATGCAATGGACCCCTATTTAGCACTCGATTCTGGAAATTTACATTGCGTTCCATTGATTTGGACGGTTGTTTTGTGGAAGTTGTCTTGGCGATACGAGCTTGGGATTCTTGCACGTGCCGCATACTTGAGGAAGGGGCGTGTGGAAAATTATTCTTTCCCGATCTAATACATCGTTACCAGAAGCATGGCTTTTTCAAGGCGCGGATCCACGTTGTCTGCCGATGCAGCCGATGAGAGGCGACACACGCATGGAGCCCGCTGGAGAAACCACTTTTGAAGTGATTTCAGGCCGTTTTTCACACACCGAGTAAATTTCGATCTCTTTTCTCCTGCCCACAGATGCGGGTTTCTGCGAGAGACTTTTTTCTGTAATTGAATATCTATATGGGTGATGAAATCTCTTTTCCATCGCACCCCGCTATTTCCTTTGTACTATATATATGGAGAAAGAGAGAGAGGGAGGCCTTGTATTTAGTTTACGAATGGGAATGCGAATTGGAAAAGAAGACACTGTGACTTTCTTTCTACGAAGTCCCCACAACCTTATTATTACTGCATGGTTTATTCTCCCTTTCCTGAGAAGCTTCCTTCTGCCCTTTAGGGGAAAGCATACAATCAAACATAACATGAACGAAATTATTACTCGCTTTTTTAGTTGTTCCCCACACTGTAAGCCTGAAGTTCTGGGCCGCATCTTTCATGACGTCGAGAATTTGTGTAACACCTTCCATTTCTACTGTCGTGACGCCAATTGGGGAGTGACACAACAGGAAAAACTTTGCATCTATGGTGGGCTTCCTATTACTATTAAGAAGAGCAACAGTGACCACACTTCTTTAACCCCAGACAGCCGTGAGCAAGCGCCACCACATCGTTATGTCTTGCCCTTGCAGATATGGCTGACGCACTTGTACCCCATTGAGCCTCCTCTGGTGTTTCTCCTCAGCGCGGAACAAGGCTGCAGGATAGCGAGCAACCACAAATACGTTGATGCTACCGGACGTTGTCACACGCCGGAGCTAGCAGCATGGCATCCAGTTTCATCCTCACTTTGTGATGTTGTCAAGAAGCTGGGCCAGTTACTCTCAGCTGAAGGCTTAATTCCGCTTTGTTTTGGTGAAGAAGGCGTCAGCTCACCACCAAAAGGCCATGCGACAGCAGTCTCAGAGCGATTGTGTCATGGATTAGAAAATGGTGACGATGATAAACGGACGGATGAGCATGAGAGGTGCGTGGTGTGCTTTTCTCCCAAGGAAACGGTGCTCGTTCCATGTGGACATTATTGCTTATGCGATGCATGCGCAACAAATGTGACTCATTGCCCACTGTGTCGTGGGTCGGTCAAGTTCCGTCAGCGTGTGTTTTCATGACAATCAAGGGGTCGTATATTTGAAGAGAGAGACAAAAGCCGAGACGCCATAAAGTACTATCGGATGTTATTCATGCAGTGAAAAGATCCCAAACGGCAATGGCACACCAGTAAAAAAGAAAAAAGAAAACATGCGCAGTAATATGTTGTTTTTGTCCATTGAAGCCTTGACAATTGCAAAGGACCTCCCTGAATTTCTCTCAGGCTCCTTTGGTGTAAATTGGATTTTATTCTCCCGCATTCATTTGAGGCAAACAACAGTAGACTGCTAAAGCATCGTTTTCATTTTGGTTGATGCCAAGCATTTGGACCGCCCCAATCGCATTGCCATCTGCAACCAGCGTCTCTGGGAAGTGGTGGGCTGGTGACGAGACGTCCCCGCTGCCCAGGCAAACACGCGCAGCACACGTGTCCTCCTATGAGAGGGCGGCGTTTGACACGGAGTGGGGCCGACATGATGGCACCGCGCCTCCCATGGGCAGAAGCGCCGCGGCGAAATGAAACAAGGAGGAGAGACGCAGAAAAGAGGGAGGCGCGGCGGCCAGGCAGAACGGAAGAAAAAGCCCTTGCGGCGAAGGAGCGCCCCGCGAGCGGGAGGACAAAGGTCGTCACGGGCCAAGTTCCCTCCTGCGGCGCGGCCATTTGTTCCACCCGGGCCACGAGGTCTCGCAAAACGCTTTTCGCTGGCGGATCTCACGAGCAGCTGGAGGTGTAAAGGTGTCCTCAAACAGCGCCCACCGAAGTCCTCGCGGAGAAGTTATAGGAACCGCCCTGATGAGAGTGTCTTCACGAAGAACCTCCTTATTCACCGCCTAGTTTTTCCGCCCGGCTATGCCGATCCTGCGGACAACGATTCCGACGGTAGCCACAAGGGAAAAAAGCAGATTTACGTTCAATTTGGTTTGGCAAGGAAATGCCCGTCACAGCAACCTTCTCCACTGCAGCACCAAGCTACCCACAGCCGCCGATTTGGGTTTCCAGAACATCGTCTGTTCCGACGCCGTGGGAGTGCGTGTGTGCTATCCGCTTCTCTCTATGCCGTTGCTTTCTTTGGACGCTCTCTTGTGCCGCACAGCTGCTCTGCAAGTATAGGCGCTGACAAACACACAAGCACATGTAAATACACACACACACAAACAAACACACGCCACATCGTACATGCTTTGGAGCGGCGTGAACGCTGAAAACGCACGTACGCACAAGATTCTGGCTGCGGTGGCTTTTGAGAGGAGGAAAAAAGCCTGCAATTCATTTTTCTGACATGTTGCGGGCGCGGTGTTGGCGGCATGCAGCTGATTGGGTGGTGTGTCATTGAGGGTGCCTGGGGTACGTGCGTATCGCCTCCCGCACAGCGCCTGCACGTGCTGCCGTTTCTCTTTTGCTGCTCATCGGCCGATGTCGGATTCGTCGGCTGCGCGGGTGATGTGCGCCGGCGGTCGAGTGGGTGCGTTGGAGGAACAAGAATAAAAACGACTGGCGGCAGCGTGTGGTTGCTGCGAAGGGCGGTTGTGCTCTTTTGCATCCCGCTGGTTGTTTGTTGTGTTCGCGTTGCTCGGTGCGTGCTGACGCGTGAATAACGACACACCCAGCGTGGCTCCTGCTATTGGTGGCAGTCGCTGTGTGTTCCCGGTGCACTGTTCTCCCTTCTCGTTCCGTGTGTCTGTGTGCGTGAGTTGTTGTTGTGGGGAGTGACTGCGGCGGGGGTGATTATGGTGCCACTCACTGTGCATGGGTGACGGTGCTTATTCTTTCACCCTTATTTTATTAGCCCGTTTTTCTTCATTTTTTTTACTCTCTTACGAAGAAAGCAAACAAGCGCTAAACGCTACTGTGAAATTCGAAGGCTCTGAAAGGAGCAACAACAGCACACACACACACACCGCCCACACACACATATTTATATGCACTCAGGTGTTGCTGCTGTGAAGGCACCCCGCACACACAACCGTTGCCGCGTGACCGGATCCAGCGGAAGGAGGAGGGAAGGAAGAGAGAGTGAGCCGCAGAGGCCCAACATGTCCCGGCATGTGTTTACTTCCGCGGTGCTGCTCCTCTTTTTCGTGATGATGTGCTGCGGCAGTGGTGGAGCCACAGCCACTGATAAACCAGCATCAGTTGAGGGAACTTCACCGGAGAAACCGTTTCATTGGAGAGACAAAAAAGGAGGAGAAACAGTGAGTTCGCTCCGTGTTCCCAGTCTTGTTGAGGTGAATGGTGATGTGTTTGCCGTTGCCGAGGCGCAGTGCACGGAAGCCAGTAACAGCGGTTTTACTGGGATTGCCTCGGAGCTCCTGGAGTGGACCGGTAAAGAATCAAGAGAATTGGATACAACTAAACTGAAGACACAAGTACTGGAGGAATGTCAGTTTGAACAAGGGAATTTCACTTTCCTAACACGAGCTCAGGATGCTTCCCAAAACCGGACAAAAGTACGTGTGAGCCGGCCAACAACAGTTGTGATTGGGAGTGTTATTTACATGTTTGCTGGAGACTACAGTTTTGAAGTTACTGAAGCCGCTGGTAGCACAGCTGCAGCAGCTAAATGGCGACTTTTGGGGGCTGTGGGAAACGTCAGTAATGATGGGAGCAGCGGTAAAAAATATATTTATTGGAAAGACGCTTCCGTTATCCCGTGGACTGATTTTGAAAACCAACACGAATCCTTGACACGGCTGATCGGCGGCGGCGGATCGGGTGTTCAGATGAAGGACGGTACGCTTGTGTTCCCAGTGGAAGGCACGAAAAGAAGGAGGATAACGCAGAAAAGGAAGTGAAAACTGCTTCCCTAATCATACACAACTCGGAAGCTGCTCCGAGTTGGAAACTTTCGAGGAGGATGTCTGACGATGACTGCAGTGATCCCTCCGTCGTGGAGTGGAAGGGAAAACACCTGATGATGACTGCGTGTGATGATGGCCGCCGCAGGGTGTACGAGTCCGGTGACAAGGGGGAGTCGTGGACGGAGGCCCTCGGGACACTCTCGCGCGTGTGGGGCAACGACCAAAAGCGACATGAGAAGGGCATTGGGAGCGGGTTCATCACAGCGAAGATTGAGAACAGGGATGTGATGCTCGTTACTGTGCCGGTGTATTCAAACAGAAAGGGAAACGAAAGGGCTGAACTTCATCTTTGGCTGACGGACAATACGCACATTGCTGATATTGGGCCTGTGTCCGGCAACGACGACGCTGCCGCCAGCTCCCTGCTGTACAAAAGTGCTGGAAGTGGAGATAATAATGAGGAGAATAAGGAGGGGTTGATTGCACTGTACGAGAAGCGCGGTGGGGGACAATCACCCGGTATGGTCTCTGTGCGTCTGACTGAGCAGCTGAAGCGGGTGAAGGAGGTGCTGGCGACCTGGAAGAAAGTGGACGACCGTGTCTCCAAGCTGTGCCTCACTTCACGTGCTGCGGTGAGTGCCTTAACTGAGAATGCCTGCACCACTGATAAGATCACGGATGGGCTGGTTGGCTTTTTGTCCGGCAAATTTTTTTGGAATACATGGATGGACGAGTACCTCGGGGTGAATGCCACAGTAAAGAAAGGAACGGAAAAAAAAGTGACCAGCACGGAGAAGGGCGTGACTTTCCGGGGAGCGTGGGTGGAGTGGCCTGTTGGCAGTCAGGGGCAGACCGTGCCGTACTACTTTGCGAACTACAACTTCACTCTTGTGGCGACGGTGTCCATCCACAATCTGCCGAGGGGAGATAACCCCAT